CGTCCTTTAGATGTCGGGTGTACTCACATATATATATATATGTATTATATATATGTGTGTATATATATAAATATGTTTATATATGTGTATATATGTATATCATTTCATTATATATGTATGTGTATAATTTTTAAAATTTTATTTTTTTTTATTATTATTTTATTTTTATTTTGTATTAATTAATATTATTAAATATTAGGGATTGATGATGTGGCAGATGACTAGGATGTCATGTCAGCATTAAATAATATATTTTTTCGTTCAGGGTTTTATTTGCCAATTTTTAAAAGTATAGAGTTTTAATTTCCAATTTTTAAAAGTACAATGTTTTTTTGGATCAAAAAAAAGTACAGGGTTTAAATTGAGACGAGAGAAAAGTACAGGGTTTTAAATGGAATTATCCCTATATATATATACATATTATATATATACTCACATACGTATATCTATGTGTAAGTATATATATATACTATTTATATTGTTCAAATACATATACATATATATATATATATTATATTTATAATGTTTCAATATATATATATATATTCAACATTAATATGTATATGTATATGTATATAGATGTATATGTATATATATATAACTATAGATATAAGATGACTATAATATATATTTTGAATAAAGATTTTGAATTACATTTCTTGTAAGTTTGTTCTTTTATAAAAACTTTTTCAAATATGAGTTATGGTAAAAATGATAAGAATGTGGTATTTATATAGACATAGATATAATGTGAAATTATTTTTAAAATGATGGGTATTTTTGTCTTTAGTATAATTTATATAATTATTTTTTAATAAAAAATAAAAAATCTACTAACAAACCTCTAAAATCTACAAAATATTAGTTTTTACCTTTCACGTAGCTTTCCTCCAAAAGTGGCTTAGCGGGTTTTTAGGAAAACTAAAATAAAAAAATATTGACTTGGAAATTTTTGGATTTTTAATCTCTAAAAACTGGGAAAACTCCTCCCATTCAAGCCCTTATATTTATCTGTATTATAGATACGGTGGATGAGTTATATATTCGTAAATGATACAGTATGAATTGGTAAAGTATATACATGCGTTTACTGAAGTATATACTTGTGTTTAGTAGTGAAATTTAAGTTTAAAAATTCAGCACGGGCTGTAACATGGTATGTTAATTCCAACACGAGCAGTGTTAGATTCAACACGGGTTGTGTCAAATGTAAAATGGGCATCTTAATTGCAACACGACCATATTAGATTCAACATGGGTCATGTCAATTCTCTGAGAAAATATTGTTTTTTGCTTAGACATTTGGCACGGACCGTGTTAGGTGCAACAAGGACCGTGTCAATTCTCTGAGAAAATGTTATTTTTGCACAGACATTTGACACGGACCATGTCAGATTCGACACGGATCATGTTAAATGTCTGGAACATGAACAAATGCGATTTTTCACATGAAAACTACTAAATTGATACAACTTTTAAAGATGTATCTCATGGTTTGTAACAAAAAACGTCAGAGAATGTTGGATATAAGAGATCTAATTGATTTTTGAGAGATTTGGGAGCAATTTTGGTGAAGAATCTTGCTACTTCTTCTCTAACTTTTCTTGTTCATTCTCGTTCTCGGGTTTTTTTCTGTTTTGAGCAACTTTTGACGAGCAAATCAATGTTACTGATCTTCTTTGTATCTATAAACGTATTCTCGGATTTTTCCTTTATTCGGTGGGGAAGGAATAATGTTTTAAGAAAGTGGAATCACGCCTAAAAGATCATATCTGAGTTCATCTATTAATTTTGTTTTTCGATTTTGTTGTTCTCGTTATCTTTCTGGATGTATCCATATCCTGATTCTTTTTTTTTTAACAGTACGTTCATTTGATTGGCACCAAAAAATATGATTGGTAAGTATTGATATTTAAGCTTTTTTAATTAAAAATATGAAAAATATGAAAATACCATTCGGTAAGTATCGATATTTAGATTTTATCATAAAGTACCTTGTTCAATACTAACTCAAAACCTTTATATTATATTATTATAGTTCTGCATTACAAATTATGTGAAAAATAATATTGTGATAGATTCAATGTCAGAACGCCCGTTTTAACCCTGATATATATATATACACACATTGATATAATATATATACACACACAAGTGGAGCCTTCTCAATCTTATGGGGCCTAATCATTTATAAAATATAATTAATAAAAATTCTAATTTATATAATAGAAATATTAATTTTAAAATTATTTAATTATTTTTAAAAAAAATTAATATATAATAAAAATATTTAACGATAATAAATTAATTTTGTAATATTTTTATGTATTAATGATAACAATATATTTTTCAAATGAATCTATAAATTTAAAGCTCCTATTATAAATATAATCGATTTTAAAGTTCTTAAAATAATTCTTTTCATTTATTATTAATATATTTTATGAATTATAATATTAATTTAAAGATTAAATTTAAAGTTGAATTTGAATTTGAATTTATAATAAGTTTGTGATAAAAATAAATTTTTAAGTATTAATTTTATAATTTCAAAAGAATGTAAAAATATTTTTCTAAAATTTATTTTATTTTATTCTCTTTATGATTGTGTATAATTTTAAAAATATGACCCCAAAATTTATAGAATCTTGTTCCACTCCTCCACTTGCGCATGTTAAAAAATAGATTATATATTCACTTTGATTTTTCTTATCCCACGTTTTTTTAGAAGAAAAAGGAAAGAAACAAATAAAATTAATTTGGGAAAATGGCATACGAAATGTTTAAAATGTGACTTTTTCCTACACGAACTTTTAATTTGACAAAAAACTATATCAAATTATCAAATGTGCCAAATTGATACACGGACTATCCAATTTAACTGCAATTTTCTACACAATCCGAAAACGACGTTAAATATCCGTTAACCGATGACGTGACACGCCATGTGGCGTCTGACATAGCACACCACATGAAAAATTTTACCACGTCAGCGTGTCACGTCAGATTTTTAAAAAAATATAAAAAAATCTAAAAAATTGCAAAATACAGATTTAAAAAAAAACAAAAAATCTGAAAAAAAATTGAAAAAAGATAAAATAATATAAAAATAAAAAGCAGAAAAAATACATATATATATATATATATATACATATATATTCATATCTATATACAAATATAAACATATATACCCCTATATATGTATATATACTTATATATTTTTTAGTATGTATATATTTGTTTGTATGATACTTAGCTTCTATTTAAAAATTTTAAATATATATATATACTCCTATATAAAAATATATATACTCCTATTTAAAAAATATATATATATACTTCTACATATAAATACATATACTTATATATACTCCTATATATATACATATATATTCATATCTATATACAAATATAAATATAAACATATATACTCCTATATATGTATATATACTTATATATTTTTTAGAATGTATATATTTGTTTGTATACAAATACACATATATATACATATATATTCATATCTATATACAAATACAAATATATTTGTTTGGATGTATATGTATATATATATTTGTATAGATGTTAGTATATATATATATGTGTATATGTTTTAATTTGTATATATATAGATATATTTTATATAGGAGTATATATATTTATATTTGTATTTGTATATAGATATGAATTTATATGTAGGAGTATATATATATTTTTTAAATAGGAGTATATATATTTTTATATAGGAGTATATATATATTTTTAAAAAAATTTCGATTTTTTTCAGATTTTTTCTGGATTTTTAAAAAATATGACGTGGCATGCTGACATGGCAAAATTTTTCATGTGGCGTGCCATGTCAGACGCCACGTGGCGTGCCACGTCATCAGTTAACGGACATTTAACACCCAATTCGGATTGCGTAGGAAATTGCAGTTAAATTCGGTAGTTCCTGTATCAATTTGGCACATTTGATAATATGGTATAGTTTTTTGTCAAATTAAAAATTCGTGTAGAAAAAATCATGTAGGAAAATATTATTTTTCCAAATAATTTCAATTTTTAAATTCCTACAAATATCGATTGTGCCACTGTAGCTAAACAAACTTCTATAATTTATCTTATAAATGTTATTCCTTCCGTTTCTGATAAATGAGGTTTTAGAGAATATATTTTGTTATCAAATGGATATTATTTTAGATTTTCTAAATTTTTTTAAAAAAAATTACAAATTTATCTTTAATTAAAAATATCGAATTTCAACAAAAAATATGTAGTTACTTTTTCTTTTCAATACAAATTAATGCCAACACAAAGTTGAGATGGCCGAGTTGGTCTAAGGCGCCAGATTAAGGTTCTGGTCCGAAAGGGCGTGGGTTCAAATCCCACTCTCAACATATATTATTTTATTTTATTTTTTAAAAAAAAATCGAGAATACCCAATAGGAGGTGTAGCTAATTCTATGCTTATCGAATAGATTCATGGAGACAACTAGAAGGCTCTTAACTCGTTCTAATGATATATATAATTATCATCTAATAATAAAAAACATTATTATACGTTTACATGTTTCTTTCGTTGAAAACAAAGGACATGATCAGAATTCTAAAAAGGGAAACTATTCATATTCGTACTTAAAGGATGGATAATTAAATTATGATTATCAAATTCGGTTCGAAAACGATTTATTCAATTTTAGTAAACCACATCAGTATTCGATTTGATCCAGTTGGATTCCGGTTCACACCGGCTCAAAACTAAGTTTTCAGACCGAAATACCCCTGATTGGAAATAAATGAAACCAAACCGGTTGACATTCCTAATAGCATAAACCAATCGAGTTTAGACCGGTTTTGCCCAGCCACCAATTATTTTCTTTCGCTTTTCCTCTATAAACTAAAATTAAATTAATTGTTTTGCTTGTCGGTTTATTTTCCTTAAGAAATTAATTAATTGAAAATATAACCAAAAAAAAAAAGTGAGAGAAAGGAGGGGAAAGAAAAGATGGGCGGTGACGGTGACGGTGACGGTGACGAATGTATCAGATAAATACCTCTTAACGGTTCGGTGGAAAACACGAAAAAAAAGTTGAACTTGCTGATGGCGTTGCCGCCGTCGCTTTACCTCTTGCCGTCGTCTTCGCCGCCGGTCAAAACCCTAGCTCTTCTTTCTCCGTCTCTATCGCCGCGATCCTCTTCGTCCTTTGGTTGCTCCTCGTCTTTGAGCCACGGTTGCTCGTGCTCTTTTTCCTCCGATCGACTTTTCGCGCCTCGCAATTCGGTTCTGAAAGGGATGACGATGAAGAAGGCGAGGAAACGGCTGGGGGTCGTGGCTATGGCTCCGGAGGAGGAGAAGCTCACTCGTCGGAGCCCTCTCGATTTCCCTATCGTACGTATCGAGTCCTCTTTTTTTCTTTTTTCCTAGATTTTCTTAGGGATTGCGTGAGACTCATCGACCAATCTCCCGTAATATCTGAACAACGCTGTTGATCGCTTTCTCTGAATCGATGGGATGGAATTTGCGAGGAGTTTCAAATTTAATAGATTTGTGGGTCTAAATCAAATCACTAATTTGCGCGAATATTGTTTCAAATAATATGGCTAGAAGAAAGATTTGCGTGTATTGTTTCATCTGGATTCTCTCTCTCTCTTGACGCCATGCTTGTGCAAGTAAAGCCTGCGAAATTTTGCTATTCGATGTTCTTCCTCTCTGATAATCACATAGACAAGATTTCTGATTTTTAGATTATAGGTTCAGAACTGCTTGTTTGTCAAATCGAGCTAAAGTCTTTGATGAAGCTCATTAGATCCTGTCCTGTATATGGTTTGATATACCATGCGCTTGTAGCGTCTTGCTTACTGGATTATCGGATTCGGATGATTCGTTCGGTTCATGGATCCTACCGACTTAACGTTAATACATGTTCTATTGAGGATCAACATGTTTATCACCTGAATCTATTTAGGGTTGAAGCCGGAAGATTAATTTCTTGTTCATCTGTTTGAACATGAACTGAGTCTCATCCTCCTTTTCTGAATGCCTTTGCTTGAGGTGAATGTTCTCGTGATGAATATCTAGCTCCTGTCGCCGAACTTTTCAATCTTACGTAGAATCCTCGCTGTGGCGGTGCCTGTTCCGCCATCTATCCATTCCTGGTCCCATCCATGGAGAGGTTTGTCCCGGGAATGGAACCGGCTCGAATGATGTTTGAACAAGTTTGTGTTTTTGGGTATGTGGCAGGAATGGGAGAGACCGAAACCCGGGAGAAGGCCAGACATTTTCCCTAGGTTTAGCCCTATGAAGACACCATTGCCTCTTCCGGGGCCTTTCGATCCTCCAGCGGAAGATGATGAAGAAGACGAAGAAGAGGAGAAGAAGAAGGAAGACGGTGAAGAAGACGATGACCCCGACAAGGAAGAAGATGATAAACCTAAAAAGCCAAAGTAAAATACTCCTCTCTATGGAGAGATATTCACAACAGGCATATATACATATATACATAGTTCTGAGTTGTCTTGTCTTTGCCTCGAGCATTAGGATTTTGCCTTGTAGTTGTTGCCTCTTCTTCTGTCTGTTGTAATCATTAGAATACCATATCTCATTAAGAAAAAGAAAGGCTTAAACCACGGAATTGGTTTCAATTTTCAATCATAGAATTTTGTACTTTTATTTAATAGTTTTATATTTTTTAAAAAAAACGAATGAGTGATTAGTAATGATTTGAAGTGTTTATAAATTTTGTAGATATTAGATTCTGGACTTGTGAGATATTTGGGCTTTTAGTAAGTAAAAGACCCAGAAATAACAATAGAAGGCCCAATGAGACCCAATTTCTTTATATATATAATCTATTCTTTACCAAAATCTTTAATCCGCAATCCGGTAATTCGGAGGGACCAGCAATGGCGTCGAAGCAAGATTACGGCATCCCCGTTCCGTACGCCCCTCTTCCTCCGACGCCCACCACCCAAACTATTATCGTTCTGACCCCTTACTACCGCCATCGCCGATCTTCCTTCCTCCGCCACCTCCGGTGCTGCTTCCTCTTCTCCGCCGCCATCCTCCTCCTCTCCGCCGCCGTCTTCTTTCTCTACCCCTCCGACCCCGACATCAGACTCACCCGGATCCAGCTCAATCATGTCCGTGTACTGGATTCCCCGAAACCCGCCATTGATCTCTCCTTCTCCCTCACCATCAAGGTCCGAAACCGCGACTTCTTCTCCCTCGACTACGATTCTCTCGTCGTCTCCGTTGGGTACAGAGATAGGGAGCTAGGGATTGTGAAGTCGCGTGGCGGCCATCTCCGAGCTCGTGATAGCTCTTACATAGACGCGACGCTTGATTTGGATGGTCTGGAAGTTGTCCATGACGTGATTCACTTGATCGGAGATTTGGCTAAGGGTGTTATCCCTTTCGATACCATTGCTTGGGTCAAAGGAGATTTAGGGTTCTTCTTCTTCCGGATTCCAATTCAGGTACCCCATCTTTCCTCGTTGATGTATTCGTCTCCGAGCTGTGATTCAATTCATGCGCCATGGATTTTAGGGAAGCGTACTGTGATTCGTATTCGTACAAAGCTTCCTCTTTTTGGAGTGATAACATGAGAGGTTGTAGTGTCGGCTTTTGGGTATAAGTCTTATCATGAAATTCAATAGTTGTGGACCTTGTGGTCTTAGTTTGGAGCTTTCGTATGGATGTTTTCACTATTGATAAAGCTAATAGTGTCTGGTCCTTGTAGAAAATCCATAGTGATGAAGAAATTCTTAGGAGTTTCATTAGGAACAATTGGCTCATTGATTGAGGAGGACCCTTTGTGATTTCTTCATGCTCTGCTTCTCTCCATCCTTTCTGATTCTGGGCTTATGAAGATTTGATCCTCTTCACATGGAAACCGATCTTTCTGAGTGTTTTCTACTTTATGTAGGAGGTGACTTTCCAGTATCATGAAGCCTATCTTCTGTGCAATCAAATATGAATTTCTTTCACTTGAGTTGGATTGCTTTATGATATATGATTTGTGGATTCTTTTTTATTTTGTGTTGACATCAAGCCCCTTTACTCCACAGCGGTTGCCCGTTAAAGATGCAACCTTTTTTGGTATTTTTAGTTGACTGAGTTTACTTTACTCTAATTGTGCTCTACATACATTGGCCATGCTTTTTGAGTTTCACCATGACGCGAGACCTCTCGATGTTTTGCGATATTGTTTTCTGTGCAGGGAAAAGTGAAGTGTGAGGTGTATGTCAATGTCAACGACCAGACAATTTCCCACCAGGATTGCCGCCCGTAGGTAAGCCGGTTTCTCAGTTTATCACGAGGTTATTATTTATTAGCAGAGTAATCGAACGTTATGATTACAATATGCTCTGATTACGAGTTCTAGCATTACAGAAAGATGGGTAGAAACGGAGAGAATCAGAACAATATATAGCATTATGCAAATTATGATATGGATGAACTTTTACTCTGTTCATTGCTCCGGTGGGGCATAGCTTGAACTAGTTTATCTGCCTCGGAAACTTTTTTTTTTATAATCTGGAAATTCACTAAACCTTCGACCCAACTATATCTCTCATCGAAACAGAGAAACCCAGGTGAATGCCCCTCCCCTTGGGGAGACTCGAAGCTGGGTTGGGAAGGAGATTTGTTGTATCTCTTACCAATTAAACCACGCAATCTTGGGTTGCCTCGGAAACTTGACTTCCAAAAACTCAATAGCTTAAGCTATTTGCCAAACCGTATCATGCCCTGCCCTGTCCTGTGTTCTACCATGTGATTGCGCCCGACAAGGCATGGATGAATGAACAGACATTATAGGAAACATAATGGTAGATGGGTAATGAATGTTGCCCTTATATGTTTGCTCAGACTTCTAGTAATGGCGAAAAAGGAAGCAACTTTATATCGGGACAGGGATAGTCATTGGCATCACCGAGTTAGGGAACTGAGGAAAAATGGTAAGAGGGTGGGTTAGTGAAAGTTGTCTGAACTTTGAAATTGTACAATGTTGGAGTTATTTGGGTCAATTTAGAGATATTAACATTTCAGACCAGACATAGATTTTCTTTGCTTTAAGCAACTTCCATGTACTTTGGACTCTTCAAAGCCAACATATATTTGCATTGACTCCATCCATCCATTCATCCAATTGTTGCAGGGAGGCAGTATTTAATGGTTCCATGATCTACAGATATATCAGGCAGGTTTCAAATAATGTTGTAATGGACAAATGGATGCTACAGAAGACATAATGATGTATGTATACATGTATGTGTTTGTGTATATGTCTGAATTTATGAAAACATGTCAGGTTTGTAGATATTAGAGTTAAAGACATCCGTGACTCTGGGGTTTATTGTAGGAACAGTCACTGCATCTTCTTCACCGTGGCATTACATGATTTCATGTTATACTCACACAGGTAGTGTTAGAATTTAGAAATGGGTGTCGTTTTCTGTTTCTTTATATAAACTTTAAGCGAAATGGGTGTCGTTTCTCTACCTTCCTCCAAATTTGGTTCCAAATTTCTGTTTCTTTATATATATATATATATATATATATATATATATATATATATATATGTCATGGTTGATGTAGAGATTTATAGGAGTGACGGGTCTATATTTGGTAATTGATAGAAGTACAGGAAAATGAGAGAGAACGGTGAAGAAGATTACGAATGATTTTATAAATAACATATAATAAAAGTAAAGATATATAGAATAATTTACACTAGAAAATATAGTTTGCAATGTATATTTTGTAAAAAAATGGTATATTGCAAGCCAATCTTTTCATTTAAAAAAAATAAAAATTTGTACCATGAACATGAACATGGAGGAAAAATGGAGGAAAAAAGTAGTGGTGGTCATGGTTATGCCACGTATCTTTTTGTTTGAGCCACATGAATGACATTTAACTTCTTTCCTCTTTCAGCATTTAATGGCTTGAAAATGTTAGGGGGCACAAAACGCTGTCGTTTTAGCGAATTGGACATATTTGTATTTATCGGAGGAAAAAAAACATACAATCCATTCCAAATCAAATCCTCTAATTCTAATTTATTATGTAACAAACATGAGAAGATTTTTTTCTCTAAAAGATATTAGTATAAAAATGATGTATTAATGGCTTAACTATTTTCCATGGAAGATTTACATTTTTGATTTGTAATCTATAATTAAAATTCAATTATTAGAAAACGTGTCCAAAAATGGTAATTATTTGCTGATTTTCCGAACCTACTAATTTAAGCATATATATATATATATACACACATATATTTTTAAGGCGAATTTAGGCTGTTCGTCCAAAGCGTTCCTTGATTGGTATATTAATATAACAAATTCTTATAAATTATTATATTATAAATATACATTAATGGACACAGTGACAGGATGACTGCAATTAGGTCCACTTTAGTTTCGATTTTAATTTTCAATTTTAATTTTTTTTCCATTTTCGTTCAACCCCTCAAGAGATCACTTTATTGCATTGAGAGTGCACGGAACCATTGCATTTAATTCGGACGTCTTTGATAAAACGTGAGGAAGAAAGACGACCAACAACCCCCACATCTCCTCATTTCAAAATTTATTATTACTTATTACCTTATATTATATATATATATATTACATATACACACACATATATATATATATATATAAAGGAAATACCGATATGTATAAATATGTATTATAAACGATATCATATGATTTCCAACATAAATTTGAAAATTCGTCCCATTTTTTCCTTATCTTAATTTAAAAAAAAATTGAAAAATAAAAATTGATGAACGTTGAAGAATATTCAAAGAACTCGTTAAATTTTTAAAAATGAAATAAATAATGAATATAAACCTATTATATGTTGGAACAAACAGGGATTAGACTTTTAGAACATGGTAGACTACTAGACTTGACTATCTCCATAATAAACTTGCGAAAGTCGCGAAGAACGAGTTATTTTACTAAATTTTTACGCAGTAATTCATTTATTAGTTTGTAATGATAAAATGAAATAAAGAAAAAAAATAATAGGACGGGTTTTGAAGAATAGAAGATAAAAAAAAAAACAGATAATATATTAGATTGAAATTATAAATTGAATTTTTCAAAAATAGGATCGGATTGATGAGCCGTAATAATTTCGTGTGCGTATATATATTCCACGTCAGACTTCTAGAATATGTTAATATTTTGGACTTTTACAATTTTATCATTTATGTAATAAAATCATCACAAACCTCGTGTTTTTATATGTCATCCTCTCCTCTTGCATTAATTTGAATACTAGTAGTTTTCATAGTGGGTGCAACAACCCGTATTTAAATTATTTTTATTTAATGAAATTTTTAAAAAACTGTTTTCTTATAAGTTTATAACCATGCAATATGGTCTTTATTTGCATCTGTTTCCACAAGGCATGGCACCAAAAAAAAAACAAATCAAGTATGAAGTAGCATAAACGCTAATTAATCGATAATCATTATAAAGTTTTTTTTTGGTATAATAATCGTTATAAAGTTTTGAAGATATCCGATATTTTACCTCATTTGTATATCTATTATATAATTTTGCCCAATTTCGCGGTTATGTCCGTATTTTTTGGGTAGAAAATTCGAAACTATATCAGTTTTCGGTCCAAGAAAACCATCAATATTCAACTTTCAAATTACCAAAACTAAAACTACGAAATCATACGTATACCTAAGTATGATACGTGAATTTTATTATTATTATATGAATTCGATATTTTTAATTTTAAAATTTTCCAATATGGTGGTTTGAATTGGAAAAATACAGAGAGAGAAGTAATTTATTGAGATCATGTTTGCCTCTCATTTTATTGGGATCATAGGGTAGGCGCAGAGAGATTATAGGTTTACGAACGTATGTACGTATACGTATGTATCGGAGCAATATTAATTGTGAAAAATATTTACGTTGAATCTATAACTGTAGATAGTTTTTTCACTTTTTACCTTTGATAGATTTCAACGACAATGCTGAAAAAGAGAAATATTTACAGAACATAAGTGTGCAGGAACTGAAGGCCCCCCCCCGACTATAAATAACCTGCCGTTCTTCACAGTTCGCACCTCACCGTCTATACGGAGAGAGAGGGAGAGAGAGAGAGAGAGATGGAGACCGGAAAATGCAACGGAGGCACAACGGCGGAGAAGTTGCCGGAGATCAAGTTCACGAAGCTTTTCTTCAATGGCGAGTTCCACGACGCCGTTTCAGGTGTCTCTCTCTCTATATATATATATATAGTCTTGATGTCTCATTTTTCACTGTTTTACATGTGTGCATTATATATATATATATATATATGTATAATCGATTGAATTAATATTATTATTTTTTGGTTGGGTGGTGATGGGTGAAATTGGAAAGGGAAAACATTTGAGACAATAGATCCAAGGGATGGGAAAGTGATAGGGAGAGTTGCGGAAGGAGACAAGGAAGACGTTGACTTGGCAGTCAAAGCCGCACGCCATGCCTTTGACCACGGACCTTGGCCTCGCTTCTCTGGCTCTGTCCGTTCTCGCTCCCTCTTTTTTTATTATTATTTTTTAATTTCAATTTAACCCGCCAAAACAAAAATTCATTCTAAATTTGGAGTCAACTTTTTATGAGACATGGGGAATAAAAATGAGCAACCTGCTTTAAGATGAAGTGAATTTGGAGTCAAGAATTTGAATCTGTTTCCATGGTGTTAACGTCCATCATCATCGTCAGGAGAGGGGAAGATTGATGCACAAATTCGCGGATTTAATCGAAGAAAACGCGGATGAATTGGCAGCGTTGGACGCCGTGGAAGCCGGGAAATCGTTCGAATTCGCCAAGAGGGGCGAGATTCCCACCGTCTTGAGCTGTTTCAGGTACTATGCCGGTGCCGCGGACAAGATTCACGGCGAGGTCGTGAAAATGACAAAGCCCTCGATGTTTGGTTACACTCTCAAAGAGCCTGTCGGAGTGGTCGGCCTCATCGTTCCGTGGAACTTTCCGAGCGTTTTGTTCGCCGCAAAGGTGGCCCCGGCCTTGGCCGCCGGCTGCACCATGGTGGTCAAGCCGGCCGAACAGACTCCGCTCTCGGCTCTGTTCTACGCTTACCTTGCTAAGCAAGTAAGTCCTTTGATGATCAAGCCCTAACTTTGGAGATCTGTGATTGCGCGTGTGTGTGAGATTGAATACCTAATAGGAAATTAGGGTTTGATTCCAAATCTTTGTCGTCGTTTGATCTTGCGCGGTATCAGGCAGGAATTCCCGACGGTGTGCTCAACGTTGTTACCGGGTTTGGTCCGAAGGCTGGAGCTGCAGTTGCATCTCATATGGACATAGACAAGGTAAACCATTCTATTACAGCCACAACCTTATCCATTCCCTTTTCGAGTTTTTAGGAACCGGAATCCTTGATCGGCTTTTGAACATGGAACCCAAAAACCAGAATATCTTATTAAGGAGATGGCTTGCTTCTTATGATTCCTATGTTTTTTTCACCAGATTAGTTTCACGGGATCGACGGAAGTAGGAAGGACGATAATGCAGGCCTCGGCGACCAGTAATCTAAAGCTAGTGTCCCTCGAGTTGGGCGGAAAATCGCCTATTCTGATATTTAACGATGCTGATGTCGAGAAAGCCGCTGAACTCGCCCTCGTCGGTAACTTCTTGAACAAGGTACCCCGCCCTCGATTAACTTCTTCATCTTTACTAGGCTTGAGCTTACATTTCAGTAGCATTGGCTCTGAAAAAATTGTAAAATTTGGCGGGTTTTTTCAGGGGGAAATCTGCGCGGCGAGCTCACGGGTTTTAGTACAAGAAGGCGTATACGATAAACTCGTGAAGAGGTTAGTTGAGAAGGCGAAAGGTTGGACCGTCGGCGACCCTTTTGATCCTACTGCTCGTCAAGGACCTCAAGTACGGTTTCTTTTTCTTCACAAAACGCTCTCACTGTAAATAGGTGGATACGGTTAATTAATATACGCTTTTGATATAATTTTATACGTAGGCGGATAAGAAGCAATTCGAGAAAATACTGTCTTACATTGAGCATGGCAAGAGAGAAGGCGCGACTTTGCTCACAGGCGGCAGAGCCGTGGGGGACAAAGGGTATTTCATCGAGCCGACCATCTTCGCCAATGTCACGGTTAGTTCTAGCTCTTTAGGCTAAGGCTTGGTTCGGCGGTCTGAATCTTTCGGACCGAGGGTTTACTGTGTGCTGATGTTACATGGAAAACCTTATATTAAAACCCTAAATGTACATAATTATAGTAATAGCACGATTTGATTGTACAAATGATTTTGGATAGAACAGGAGGACATGAAGATATACCAAGACGAAATCTTCGGACCGGTCATGTCATTGATGAAGTTCAAGTAAGCGAAACCCAAACTTCCCTTACACTTTGTTTCACCTTCCGTTGATCTCTACTTACACCGATACACAAGGTTTTTTGGATAACCGGATATCATGGAACGAGGTCCAGACTAATCTCGAGATACATAATCAAGGTTTTTAAGCATAGGGTATCATCATATAAATTCATACACATGTAACGAAAAAGAGTCGTGACAGGACGGTGGAAGAAGGGATCAAAATGGCGAACAACACGAAGTACGGGTTAGCAGCGGTGATAGTGAGCCCAAACATAGACTTGGTGAACATGGTGTCGAGGTCGATAAGAGCGGGTCTGATATGGGTTAACTGTAACCTGGAACTGGACGTCTCTTGCCCGTTCGGCGGCTACAAGATGAGCGGGTTCGGTCTAGACAACGGGTTGGACGCTCTCGACGGCTACCTTCACGTCAAGTCAGTCGTCACTCCCCTTCACAACTCTCCTTGGTTGTGAACCCTCTCTCCCTCAGTTTCACTACTCTCTCACTTTAAGATTAGCCTTTTTCATGTGTATACATTGAAATGTAATAAGAGAGGTTGTCCTAAACACAGCGTTAGGGCAAAGTGAATAAAAAGGCTGACGTACCAAGATTATTTGATATATATGTTTTTTTTTGTTATAATGAATCTAAACAAAACTAGACCAGAAAAAGGTATAAAAAGGGTGGTCCAAATGAAAAAAGATTGGGTTTTACAAGTTCGGGTCGAATCCAAATTCGTTATACATATCCATTTAGATCTTTTTTTAATAATTAAGAAGTTCACTTAACCGACGTTACATCTCCCTAAACTCCGGGGGTTGCCTCAGTTTAGATATTTGTTTGTGAGAATTCGAGGTTCTTGAAAAAGTTTTAATGAGTTAGAACTCGAAATGAATGAAAACGAGGGAAGAATCTGCAATTCAATTTCTAATATTTATCAAAAAAACAAAGTAGCTAATAAATATGATTTTCATTTGGCGAAAAAAAAAGCATATTATTTGCGTATAACTCGCAATTAAATATTCATACTTATATGTTTAAATCGGTCGATATATGCGTATGATGAAGGTGTACATACATATCTCACGACGCAAATGGTATTTTTATTAATCAAGAAAAAGTTGAAAAACTAATTAGTTTTAGTATAGTTTTTTTTTTGTTATAAAGTTTTAGTATAGTTTTGTATTCGTAATAAATATTTCCCATTTAAATATTGAGGATGAGGACAACTGTCCATGTCCAACTACAGCCAAACAAAAAGACACTCACCCCCTCGGAAATTGTTTTAAAATTTAAATAAATAATAAATGAATATATGACAACTTTCCTGCATATATATTTATAATAACGCCGCAGACGTCGACGCCTAACCAAACACCATGGATATATATATATATGCTTATTTTATTGCTAGCAAGTGGTCATATTCAACGTATTTTTCAGTTCATATACAAACGGTTGATTTTATTATATATGGATGTATATATGACCATTTATTTCACTTATTGCGTGTATATATAGAAAGAGAGAGAGCTTCTTCGGTATTAGAAAGATCTAATAGCTACACCATTTTGGGTATCCCTAAATATATAGATGCAAGTAAATTCACAATCAAAGATAATATTTTCTTTTATCAAAAAAAGATAATATTTTCCTAATATTTATCATTATCAAATTTATCCATCTTCCACAATCTCAACCGGGACACTCCGTGAGATTTGGATCGAAAATTTTTATACCATAATAAAAAAAAAATTACAAATTTTATTTCAATTCGATCTAAAAATCATTATAGCAATAGAGATTAATTAATAGCATTCTAATAGTAATAAAAGTAAACTACTCTAAAATTATATTTTTTTAAATATCTATCACAAATTTTTAGATAATTTTTTTGCCGTCTTATCTGATTTTGTCCCCCAAATATAAATAAAGATTTACAAATATTAAAGACAAGATGTAACGTGTATAATTTATAGTTTGGTCGGATAAGTCAAATCCATTAAATATATGTGACGGCAACCAACGTCAATAATGATTCGCCCATATTATCATGCAAGGCAAAATTTAATATTCGCCCATATGTCGAGATGTTTATATGTATATATATAATTAACGTAATATATATATATATATACATATACATACATATTGTGTTGGAAAGTTATAATACGCATGAATTTCAGCTTTCAGATCAATACATACATGCATGTAACTTATCATATGCATTGAATTATAGATATTTATACAGTCAATGAACGTGTAGGAAAGGTACAAGTTTGATGTCGTAATTTGCTTTGAAAAAAATTTCCGTAATTTTCATTCAAACTTCGTCAAGGCAAGAAACGAAAAATCCAACATGAAAAGTGTTATTACATGCGACCAAAAAAGTATTAAAAAAATATAAAAATCTCTGCGGTGATAAAAAAACTGAGATATTTAGGGAAGACTAACTTTATTATTATTATTATTATTATTTAGGACATAATTAGTTATTATAACAAATATTTTGGGTTGTAAACTTATATATTAAAATTGATAAATAGTTAAATTGGGCAATCTTTTTTTTTTTTTGTGTGTGTTTGCTGCATCACTTATTTTGTTTTGTTTTATTGACGATTCTATTTGGAATTTTCACGTATATACTGTTTTCTTCTCTACAGTACACCCTAATATTGTTTGTATATTTTCGACCGAATTTGTATATGGTATAGTCTTGGAATTAGGGTTTTATTTTTCTTATTTTCCGATTTCGTCGACCTTTTTCTTCTGTTATTGTCTTTGTCTTTTTTATTATATTTACGTCGGACAATTTAATCGGCCCATTGATAGAAAAATGATCAGGATACTGAATTCAGAACCGTCTTTTAGCAAGTGCAATCGATGCATTTGAACAGGGCCCCATTAATTTGGAGGCCCCACTTTTTTAAAAATAATAATTATTATTAATTATAAAAATAAAATATCTCTTATAATTTGACATTAAATTTTGTGAAATCATTATTCTAATAATTTTTTAGTATATAATTATTATAGAATAAATAAATAAATATACTATAAAAATTAATTAGATTATAAAATTTAATTTTTCTAGTTTATTATTAATACAAATTCAACATTAAATTGAATTTTTAAATTGATTTCAAAATTCCTATATTTTAATAAGAAATTAATCATTTTATTTTAAAAATTGAAAATAGTTTGTATTTATGAATCCTAATTTATGGATTTCCTTTATAAGTTAATATTATTATGATTAATACATAAAAACATTACAAAATTTATTGATGATAATTACATTTTTTTTTTCGAAATTAATAATTTTTCGAAATCAATAAATAATTTTATTATTAATTTTTATTATATAAATTTATATTTTTTTATTAAATACTTTTAATAATAATATTTTTATTATATAAATTTATAATTTTTATTAATTAATTTTTATAAAATGTACAGGGCCCCATAAAAGTTTGAGACGGCCCTGACTGAATTGCTAATTATTCATAAATATGGATTCATATACTGAAGTTATAAACAAGGCGGAACTTATAATAGCGCGCGCACACAGGAAATTTTCATTTAAATACATCAAATTATTAAAAATTCCCACATAAACATAGTTTTTCCCTAAATATAAATATTAAAATATCTAAAATATCCATAAATATATATATATATATATATATATATTCAAAATATAACATTTCTGTAGAGCACGGTATTTACAACTTTAAATTATATATTAAATATTTACCAGAATATTTAAAATAGCAATATAATATATATATATATATATATATAATATTTTAAGAATTTCGTCTAATTTTACCGGATTTTTTGTGCACAGATTAATATATACCCGTTTGTATTTTCAATTGGGGAATGGTGTCGTGGTAATAGGTTGGCCACATTCTATATATATGCATACATACTAGTTTCGTTAAGACATCAATGAGTTGGCATTGGGCCAGTTCTCGTGGTTTCACATTTATTTTCGATGCATATGCTTTTTTATCATGTCTATGCATCAAATTGGGATTATAAATCAGTTTTCTACGTAAGATTATATATAATCACAAGATTACTGCAAATAATACTTATCCAATACAGAGGAAAATACACAATTGGTGACACCATTCTCTCGCGGCAATGTCAATCGGTTCCAAATCTTATGGACGTATGGCTATCACTTACTTGCTCGATCCAATCTTATCTTCCCTTAGGGTCTGACCTCTGTTTTTGTAAGCTTCACGGACAATGGAATCCATTACTTGTACGGCTGAGTGCCGGGTTCTATACGGACTACTTTTTTTTTTTTACTAATGCATATTTACCATTACCATATATATATATATATATATATATATATATATATATATATATATATATATATCATGGTTAGCTACGTTTTTTGTTTTTTTTTATTGGATAATTTCCAAAATATAGAACAATATTTAAGAGTCTAAGACCATTTTTATTTTTATTTTTGTTTATATAAATAGGCTTTTTTTTTTTTTT